CAGTTGGTTTTCCCTGTAATAGGCAGTTAGAGCACCTAGAGTTTCGGAGAGCTTCTGTTCAACCATCTCAAACACCATCTGATGAGGTAGTTAGACTGGATCTACGCAGCCCTATATCCTAGGATTTGATCCCAGATTATCTGATTATCCCAGATTATCTGACATTGTAGATTTAAATAATACAATTCAAAGCAGATAATCTGTAATCAGATCCTGGGATATAAGGCAGTATAGACCCAGCCTCACTTCCCAACAAAGGGCATCAACTGGACCCATTATTTCCATCTTGACCACACTCTGATTTTACTTGGATACATGGCCCCATTTGTAAAATGTTGCAGGACATGTAATATGTATAAAATACAATTACAAGACTGCTTTAATTCCAGTTCCAAACAATGTGAGAATTACCTTAAGTCAGCATTGGAAAAAATCAACATTTGCTTTATGCAACAGTGGACTGGCCAAGAACAATAAGATCAAACATTCCTTTTATCCACAAGGTAAACCTTGCTTAACCAGCTTTTCTTGACAGAAAGACCACAGGACAGGACATCTATTGTTTCAGCTCTGAAATACCCTTCTGTCTCAGCAAGAGAATGTTTACTTTGCTTGTTATCTACAATAAGAATTTCCTTGTTCTGTAAAATAAAAAAATGTCATATATCCACATAATGCCAGATACCCCAACCCCGTAATGTGAGTGAGAGAAAGCAGGAACCGGGAACAAATGCATTACATACCAAATGCAGGGGCTAGAGTGCCTGTCTGTCTTTCGTGAGCCTGGCTGTGCCTGCTCTTCCTGCTCTTGTCTTTCCAGGCTGAGTCAAATAGAATGCTGAGTTGATTCCTTGCCAACTGCTGTTCATTTGGAACTCAAATTGCAGCAACTGATGTAACCTGAAGAGAAGGAGAGAAAGGGGAGAAGAAGGGGAAAACTGGGACATTATAAATGCAACAGAAAAAGCACAATGGAAAGGGATTAGTTGAAATAATCCATTCCAAATTTGGACGTTTGGAGATGTGCAGGTGTGTTACCTGGGAACACTGTTTAGAGATCTGAGTTAACTGGATCTTACTCACAAACAAACTACTGAATCGGTTAGCTGTTACATTACTTCACAGGTAGCGAAAAGGACATTGCTTTCTCCAAATAAGAATTGAGGCCGACCAAATATCAATTTATTTCATTCCCCATATTTCTAGCATTGCAGAGGGTGAGACATTGAGATTCACTCTCAATCAGAACTTTTACTTTTGCTGTGTTTATTTTTCCTTGGTGCTGAATTGAAAATTTAAGTTACCGCAATTCTAGAAATTTAAGGGAATGAATGAAAATATTATGAAGGCATGCCCTCATTCTGTCACACAAATAGCTGGACCACTTTATTATTTAGATTTATCACATATACATTCATATGAACTTTAGAATAAAAATCATCTCCAGCATATCATCAGTACCCTTAAACTGATATAATAATTTCACAGTGTAGTTTTGTACAAAGGCAGTATATTTAACATAACAACCAAAATGTAAAATAGTAAAGACATTTGGCTGTTTGTAATGGCTGAAGTGATTCTTATGATATTTCCATATCTAGCTCACATAGCCAGACCCCAAAACTGTGGGAAAACTGGAATATACACTCACATGTGATGAGATTGTGAAAAATACAAATGTTTCATAAAAGGAAATGGAGGAACTATTAGGGATAAAAATATATTGGAAGAAGACACATTTTCCCCCATAAAAATGAAGGCAAAGGGGAATCTAAAGAATGAGAGGGATTCATAAATTACATGTTATATGCAATCAAAGCCTCATTTGCTTTAGGCTGAAAGGACCAAAAGAAATGGAACAGCCCTGGGACAAAACATTACAGACTCAAAACAAATTTATTACAAAAATTTATAAAAAAGTATTAGAATGGGAGACTGAAAAAGAAAGGATAAAGGACTATATGGTAAAATGGGTGGCCAATTTTGGCCACACAATTAGCTTGGACAACTGGGAAAAATGTGGACAAGGAAAATAAAGCTTATTTATTTGTACGACATCCAGGAAAACTGGTATAAAATGTTCTTCCGCTGGTTCTTCCGCTGGTAAACTCTCAAAATGTTATAAAAATACTAATGGAAAATGTTGGAAATGCGAGAAAGAAAAAGGGACGTTCCACCATATGTGGTGGAGCTGTGAAAGTATTGGAGGGAGTTACACAATCCAACCCAAACAATTCTAAAAACAAAATTTCAATTCAAATCAAAAGATTTCCTTTTGGGCATAATAGATCTAGGCTGCGACAGAAATAAAGAGGCGCTATTCAATTATCTAATATCAGCAACTAGAATAGTTTATGCACATTATTGGAGAGGAAAAGAAACCCCTAGTTGAATAGAATGGCTAAACAAAATGATAGAAATAAGTCATTTAGATAGCTTGACACAACAACTTAGACATAAACAAAATAAAATAATAGTAGATTGGAGTTCATTAACTAAATTTATGGAAGAAAAAAATGGAAATTTGGATATGAATGTTATGGGGAGAATAGATTTCCTCCCCATAAACCTTGAATAAGAAGAGGATTAAGTATACAAGAAGTGTGAACTGGAGAAGACACAACCCAGAAATGAAAAGACAGGAAGACAAAACCTACTCCTTTTTTTTGAACTACCCCTTTTTATTAACCTCCCTTTTCCACTCCACAACCTTCAACCCACTACTGTTACCTCCCCCCCATTACATTCCCCTCTTTTTTCCCCATTGATTTTTTAATGTAATCTTTCAATAAAGATATTTTTAAAAAAGAAATAGGACACAAAAACATGGTATAAATATTTAGCTGACTACCTCCTCCAAAACTACATTAACAAAAGTTACTATAGGATAGGCCAAATCAGAAAGTCATGGGAGGCAAAATGGAAAGCCTTTATTTACAGAATAAGAGTGGAAAATAAATATAAGGAATTAAACAAGATTATCCTCATGATCAAATAATTGTAATAACTACAGCAAAAAAAAATGTAAACTGTTCCTGGGGAGGGGAGAGAGAAAGAGGAGAAATAATGTAACATGTGTTACTAATGCAAAATGTTTTGAATGTTTGTAAAATTTTGTGTAGTACTATTCACAGTAATTTTGAAAATAAAAAAGGGAAAATGATATTTCCATATTTTTGTTGGTTTTTTTAAAAAGGACAGCTCATCACTGGATGCTGTGGGTAGGTGCACTGGAACTGGAACAGTGTGTTCCATTAACTATAAAACACATTTCCTAGACATTGTTAGCTATGGTGATTTAAGTTGCTTAAAGAATTTCATTAGATCTGAAAATGTGATGTAACTTTTTCTCGTTCAGAACTTGAGTCTCTTAAAACAGAAATGAAGAATTTGCAGATACAACTGGATATTTTAAAAGCTACCATCACTAAAACTCAGAAAGGTAAGAAGGACAAAGTATGGTTTTATTTGGTCCAAAGTGTCTTACATCATTACATTTTGGTTTAGTTTCAAAGTCACTTGTTTATACCCAGTTACATTTGGCAGTTTAATAAAAACAAAAAGAACATTTTGATTAAACAAAAAATATAAGAAATTTAGGCATTGGCAGCTATAAGCATTTTCAATCCTCGCCATGTTCACAAGAACAGAACATAGTTTGAAAAATTTCTCACAATCAAGAATTCTTTTTGGTGACTTTTAGTGGCACTACAAGCTACCTATCCCAGGCCCCTTCCACACTGTTAAATAAAATCTCACATTTTCTGCTTTGAATTGGAATATATGGCAGTGTGGACTCAGATAACTTAGTTTAAGATAGATATTGTGGGATTTTCTGTCTTGATATTCTGGGTTATATGGCTGTGTGGAAGGGTCCCCAGGAACTTCACTCATGATGGTTAAAGTGGTATCAAAGCACAGCAACTGTATTGTGTGAAAGAGACTATTGACAAATGGCCCAAAATAACCTCAATCACCTAATATTTATGAACTAACAAGGAAATGTGTGTGTTTGTCTCATTGGGAGTTGTAGTTTGGGGAAAATAAATCTTGAGTATTGGGAGTTGTAGTTGCTGGGATTTATAGTTCACATACAATCAAAGAGCATTCTGAATCCCACAAACGACAGTATTGGGGCAAACTTCCCACTCAGAACCCCCATGACCAACAGAAAATACTTAAGGCCATCCAGTCCAGGGCAAGAGAACGTAATCAAAGCCCTCCTGACAAAGAGCCATCCAGCCATAGTTATAGATATATATGATTCACACACACAGAGAGATATAGTGTCCAGATTATCTGCTTTGAACAGGATTATATGAGTCTACACTGCCATATAATCCAGTTGAAAACAGATAATCTGAATTTTATATGGCAGTGTAAGGGGCCTAAAAGAGAATTCTACCTTGATAGAATTGTTCTAAGACAATAATCAAAATAAATGTCCATAAATGGATTAACCTTGTCCTGTTCATTTTTTCAGTGCAGTTCTACCATAAAGACCCATTAAAGTTTACTTATTGAGATCCTTTCCCTTAGCATTGAAATCCAAAATCCTACCATTCTCCTCACTGCATGTATAAGCAATGCATATGATTTTAAAGCTCTGCAAATCTGTTTTCTCCTAGCTATCCTTGCCCCCAATGGTGTGATTGTGGCTGAAAAAATATTCAAAACAGATGGCTCCAGAGGTGATTTTGATGCTGCACAAGCCCACTGTGTGCACATGGGTGGGACTCTGGCTGTGCCAAGGAATGCTGCAGAGAATAGCGCCCTCCAGCAAATAGTGACATGGCATAACGCAAGAGCAGTTCTTGGAATCAGCGACAGGGCAACAGAAGGAAAGTTTGAGGATCTCAAGGGCCAAGTCATCGAGTACTCAAATTGGGCATCAGGAGAACCAAATGATGCCGGCAATGAAGACTGTGCAGAAATGCATCCGGATGGCAAGTGGCATGATAGAGGTTGTGCACTTGAGTGGTTAGTCATCTGTGAATTCTGAAAACTTGATTTGTCTTTTCACAAAAAAGAAAAGAAAAAGAAGATAATAGAAACATACAATTTGTTTTGCTTATATAAAGTTTTCTCAGGAAGATGCAGTTTATTTTGATTATATTTTGAGTAAGTTAAACACATGCTTCCAGCATCTATATAGTAGGTTTTCTCTGAATACAGAAGTTGACACTGCTGAGCTATAGGTAAATTAATAGCATTCTGATCAACATCTGTTGCTTATTGTTTTTATATTGTTACCCAGTTCACACTATTCCAGTCCTATGGTTTTTTAAATGCATTCACTTGAGCATTGAAAACTTTGAGACAGCTACAGAAGGACACAATTCGTCTGACAATGGAGTAGAGAGACCATCACTCGATACAAAAGATCCTGACTGCAAGCTATTTTTTAAAAAATCCTGTTCTCTGCTTAAATACTTGTTGTTGTTCATTCGTTCAGTCGTCTCCGACTCTTCGTGACCTCATGGACCAGCCCACGCCAGAGCTCCCTGTCGGCCATCACCACCCCCAGCTCCTTCAAGGTCAGTCCAGTCTCTTCAAGGATGCCATCCATCCATCTTGCCCTTGGTCGGCCCCTCTTCCTTTTACCTTCCAAAGGCTTTAGAATAGTCAATGAAACAGAGATGTTTTTCTGAAACCTAAATTTTCTGAAGCTTAAATACTAGTGAGGTGCATTGTTATTGTTTTTTTCTTCACGTGCTTGGGTTTCAGCTTTTCATAAACTGCAATGCAATATATTCTTAAAGGCAGCTAACTGGAAATGATCCACCATAAAGAAAACTTGATTCCCTGTAACTTGTCCTCATTTGGCAAGAATAAGGCTGATTAATCCTTTGTCATCCCACTTTTCCTGCTGCTTTGTAAAAAAAATACATTTTTTCAAGGTTTTTTTCACTTACCCCTTTCACTTACTAGCTTTTATGAATTGTTGAACCACAAGACCACAGGTGAACAAAAATATTTGTGATGTAACTTCCAAATCAGGGCTAATTAAGCATCAAATTCATTTTTAATAATACTAATACGCCATCAGTGAATGCTTTGAATAATCTACAGAAATATTTCAGTCATCTTTTGCATCTGGAGTAAAAATGTTCTGAGTTAAATTTTTGCATATTAAATATGAATGCAACTTTTTTCTCATTCACACAAATAATTACATACATTCCCATAACTATCACTAAGTATCCTTCTCACATTTACAGGATATTCTACTGAATATTTTCTCCTGAGTTTTCTCTCTCTCCTTTGTTCAGACATAAAGGTGCAAATGTGCTTGCTTGCTTGATTGCTTATGTTTTGTTGACATGTTTTTCCTCATTCTAAGGCACTTTGAGTCCCCTTATAGAGAGAAAAAAGTGGGGTAATAATAATAATAATAATAATAATAATAATAATAATAATAATAATATTTGTGACTACTATTATTTTACTATCTATATTATTTTACTATATATATAACTTCAAAATGACATGAATTCCTGTGCACTTTCTACCCCTCTGCTTCCTTCCAATACTAGACTCCAACTGACTATCCCTAACTGTCAAAATATAACTGCCATACTGGATAATAAAATGATGGGGTCATTTGACATGAGCATGGTTTGTTGGTCTTAGTGTTGGTTGGGATCACATCCTGGGGGAAATGGTGATTCATAAATAAATAAAGCTATCAGGCTTTGAATTTCCATTCAGTCATGAAAACCCATTGGGTGACTTTGGGCAAGCCACATTCTCTCAGCCTTGAAAAGGGCAGTGGTAAATCTCCTTTGAATAAATCTTGCCAAGAAAACCCTGCATTAGGCTCACTATAAATCAGTCAACTTGAAAGTAAGTAATAGCAGCAACATTCAACATGTTGCCTTGATTTTCAATGCATACAATCAGGATCTCTTGTAACACACACTTTGGGGATCTATCAGTGTTCCCTAGGAGCCCCCGGTGGCACAGTGGGTTAAACCCCTGTGCCGGCAGGACTGAAGACCGACAGGTCGCAGGTTTGAATCCAGGGAGAGGCGGATGAGCTCCCTCTATCAACTCCAGCTCCTCATGCGGGGACATGAGAGAAGCCTCCCACAAGGATGATAAAAACATCAAATCATCCAGGCGTCCCCTGGGCAACGTCCTTGCAGACGGCCAATTCTCTCACACCAGAAGCGACTTGCAGTTTCTCAAGTCACTCCTGACATGAAAATAAAAAGTGTTCCCTAACAGTGGTTCAAAACCCCAGATCTTCAGAGTTTACTGGTAGCATCAGCAGCAGCCTGTGTAATATAAGACTGGGCCATCCTTCATCCCACCATGTGGAACAATGTGTGTGCGCCGGTATAGTGAAGGGTATTATCCTGTTCTGAGTTTTGAGGAATGATTCAACTACAAGATGGAAGTGGCAAAAAATGAGAATGGAAGTGCCATTTTATAAATTGTCTCTAGCATGAAAAACAAAACATCCTTACAAAGGCTAATAAAATACTGTATTGTATGAAAAGCAAGCGGAGAGCATTTTTCATGAATGTTGAACCTATTACTACAATTGATTTGCAGTACAGACAACACTCCTCATTTTCAAGGTTCCACACTCACAACTTTGATTATTCATGAGAACATTCACGTGGCAGCCCCATCTTCAGGAGGTGAGAAAAGGCAAGGGATTGCCAACCCAGCTTCCAAAGAGTCACGCCCAGGTTCCAAAGAAGGTGCTGCCATGTGGACACTGTGGGAAAGGAGCTGTTCAGAAGGCAGGCACAATGCTGGCGGTGATACACACACTACTCATTGTGTACCAGGATGCTTGTTTGTAAAACTATTGAACTTCCTTCTCTGTTGTTTGTCTGCAAAACATGGACTGCCTACAAATGTCATTTTCATTCTCTGGAACAATTCCATCAGCATTGCCTTCGAAAAATCCAGGAAATTTCCTGGGAAGACATAAAGACAAACAAACATCAGCTCTCTGGAAGATGCAAAGACCACCAGCATTGAAGCAATGATCATCTTCCATCAACTTCATTGGACTGGTGACATTGTCCAAATGCCCAAACACTGTCTCCCAGAACAGTTACATTATTCTCAGCTCAAGAATGGAAAATGGAATGTCGGTGGACAGCAAAAGAGATTAACTACCTCATCACATTTATCTTTTGCTCCATTCTAGGACACTTCCAGGACAAAGCCAGGATGAAGCCAGTTAGAGCCCATCACATGTTACAGGGCTACTTCTGGTGGGAGGCTTCCCATGTTGTTATTCCATAGGATGGGACCAGCATGGAGGGAAGCTGAACAGTGATGCTTCCCTCTGTGGGATGGGGAGAGCATCAGTGCAGGTGATGCATGGCATGGGGTGATGGTTTCCCATGATGTCCACTGGATTTGACCTGCTGCCCCATGGATGTCCCCACTGTAACCTGGCTTGAGAACCTCATTGTGATAAAGTCCTTAGAAATGGACTTAAAGCTAACCTTAGAAAATGTGGCATAAA